GCGAACATGACGCGCCCGCTCTCCGCCCGCAGGACCCCTCAGCCGCAGGTCACTTGTCGCGGAAATCGACTGACCACCGAGCTGCCAAGAGTCCAAAAGGAGACGCCTGCGAGGGTTTGCTAAAGCAACAGCAAGCCCACTCACTCGATAAGGTAACCTACACCTCCGCGGCACAAGCCGCGGGGGCAATTTGGAATTTGAAAGCTCTAACAGCAATACCTGAGTCCTTGCCTACTTCCGCCCTTCTCGCGGTGGCAGACGGGATAGGTAGTTCTAAGAGAGCCAGAAGTCGATGCTTTCTGGCGGATCAAAACTACATTCCCAGGAGGAAATGCGCGAAGTAGGAAAGGTCGAGGTTAGAAAGGGCTGGAACCTCGTGCTCTCTTACCTCGAGCCTGTTGACCATTGGAGCAGCTGGGGAAGGCGGGGAATTACGCAAAAATCCAACTGACCAATGGGAAGCGTGAAAGGGACAAGATGATGATAGCGGCGTGGTCACCTTGGATACCGAGGACGCGACTTCTTGTTTGGAAAGGGTGGAGCTTTGGAGCGAGACCGAGATCAAAACCCAAAGAGAAAAATAAGAGCCTAAGGAAGGATCGGGACCAAGGGAAAGGGTAAGAAACTGTACTTTTTTAAAGATGAGAACTTGGTGCAAAGTAAGAGTACCCCTTGTGGATGGTAAGACCCAACGTCGCTAATTTAGTGATGGAAAGGGTCCCCTTGCAGAAATGTAGAGCCAGAACTGTGCTTTTTGAAGGAACTCCCTCTTCCGTAGAAAATACTCTACATTGGAATCCTGGCTTCTTCCTGATTGTAAGTGACCATATATGTTATTGAATGTCTTTGTTTTTTGTTTGTTTGTTTTTTAGCAGGATCTCACTATATACTCCTGGCTGGCCTTGAACTCACTATGTAGTCTTGCCTTGTCTCATACTCATAGTGATCCTCCTACCTCAGCCTCCATGAGTGCTGGGATTCTAGATGTGTGCCAGAAAGTCCAACTTATGTCTTTGGATTTTAATTGTGCACTCTTAAAATGAGAAAAACAATACTTTGCTTGCTTTACCTCAAAGGGTTTTTGTTAGGATCAAATAAGATAATGGATGATAACACTGTTCACAGTCTACAAAATTGCAGGGTATTGTATTTTTTATTTGGGGAATAGCACTGACTCTTAAGTCACCAAGAAAAATTTGAGAGATCAAAATTTGTTTTGATAGCAGTTTTGATCTCTTTGACAACGAATGATCCTCGGTTTTAAGGGCGAAAATAAAATGCTATAAGAAAAAAAACTCAACCAAGTTCAGTGGAATGAGCCTAAGACAAGTTGTCATATTGTTTTCTTGGTTGTCATTGGTCTACCTGTGTCATGTGGACCTGTTTCTTCAACTTTAAGATAAAGATGGATTGTATTAAGTAACTCCATAAGATCTCTCTTAACTTTTTATATATATGATATTTTTCTGTGAGCAGTAGAAATGGGAAGGATATTTCCTCCTTACCTGCCTCTCTCCCTTTCTCTCTCCCTCTGCCTCCCACAAATCATTCCATAAATTCTTAGACAAGACACCTACAAACAGCACTATTTAATAAAATGTAAGCACCAAGAATGAGTGCCTTGGAGAACTGAAGCCTTTAGCCAGTGGAATGACCAGAATTCTTGGGAATCATAGTGATAGACACGCTGGCCAGATTCCTCATAGCCCTAGTCCCACATTCTTTGTTGGCTATGACTTTTTTTATAATTCAGTATTTTTTTTAAAGTTATCCTTTCCTCCTTTCTGTACTTCTGGTCCTCCTGCCTCTGTCATCTTCTTCCTCTGTGAAGACTTGTGCTAGGTGCTGGCTTTTCAGTTCAGCAAGAGCTCACTGAACACATAACATTGTTGACTTTGTGTTGCATGTGATCAGAAATATTCAGACTATATTTTAGTAAATTCCCATGGGCATAACTTTGAAAAGAAATTTGAAAAAGACACTGGCTTTGGCATTTAAGAAGGTGCTCAAATTTGCTGTAGAAATGCTAGATACTTTTAGATAAAATATGAATCTTTCAGCCACAGTTGTCTATATAGTCATTATTCCACTATTTTCAAATAAAGAAAACTAAATTAAATTGGTGAAAACTTACTTTTCTGGTCACATGTGGTTGAATTGAGACAATTACTGATATCAAGGGGGATATAAGACACTAAGGCATTACTGACACTTAAAAACCAGTCTAATGAGTATCAAATTTCTATGTGTATTTCATTTGATTGACTTACAGCTTTCAAAACATTTGCATGGCTCAGCTCACTCTACTCTTACAAACACTGTGCAGCAGGGCAATCTTTATTCTTGCATTACACATGAGGAAACAGATTCAGAAACATTATGATTAAGCAGTTAAAGAATTTGGCCCTCTTCACGTGCTACCAAACAGTCCTAATTCTCTGACATCCTTGAAGAAAAAAATAATGCACCTCAAAAGCAGAGAATCAGATATAATTTTTTCTCTTTTCATAGTTTTTGCCTCTTCAGCTTTGAAAAAACCATGTCTATCGCCATATGCACATGAACATATGCTTCTGGTGGGAGTTTAAGTTATTATAAACTTTTCAGAGTTTACTCCACCAATAAGCATTAAAAATATTCATATCTGGTCATGGTCACACATGCCTGTAATCCCAGGACTTTGAGAGGCTGAGGCATGAGGACTGCAAGTTTGAGCTCAGCCTGGGCAACTTAGTGACTAAAGCAAAACCTTGTCTCAAAATAAAAAAGGGTAGAGAATAGATAGCTCAGTGGGAAAGCCCTGGGTTCTATCCTCAGTGCTGGGGAAAAAGTGTTATGTGTGACCCAGAAATCGTGCTTTGGGGGCTGTAAGCATGCAATTAGGAATGTTCAAGGAACTTTGTCTTACAGGAAAACTTACCATAGAAAATTATTGCATTAATTAAAATACCCTCAAACAAGAAAATAGTAAATTAATACACATTTAGAATATTATGCAATTTAAAATTGCATCTTAAAGATGAGTCAATGACATAAGAAATATTTCATAACATAATATTAAGTAAAGAGCTAATACCAAATTAGATGCTTAGTATGATCCTGATTCTGTAATACTTATCAAAATAAATTTATCGTAAAATTATGTAGCGTAGAAACAATTGCAGAAGGATATGTACCACTTGATAACAGGAATCTAAGCAGTGAGATTATGAGTTTTTAATGTTTTGTGCTAACAATAATGAAGAAATTTTACAACTATAAGAAAAAATTTAAAGCATTTCTTAGCATATTTTGTTCTCCAGGACTGATGCAATAAATCAAAGATTTCTTACCATCTAAATATAGATGTAGACGGTAGAGGATTTCTTACCATCTAAATGTGAATGTCAGTGAATGTTATTTATATTCAACAGAATGAATGGCAGAGGTCATGAGAGAGTTTTCAGAGGAAAATGGAACCAAAACAGATTAAGTATTGCCTTGCAAGGAAGGCACAATTAACATTCTGAATATAAATATCATTCTATTAATAAATGTATTAATAAATAAATTAAAAATAATAAACTGAAAGCATAAGTTAATAATTAACAATACTGAGAAGTATTTACTGAACATGTAGTTAGGCCCATTTGAAATTTGATGGGAAACTGCAGAGAGAGAGAGTTATATTTTTTCCTTTATAATCTGGACAGCTTGTCGTTCTTTTCTAGAGTGACTGCACTTGCTAAGACTGCGACTAGGATATTGAATGGGCAAAGTGAAAGAAGAGATCGGTGCTTGATTTTTAGCCTTGTGTGGGAAAGCATTTGGTATTTTACCAGCAGTCAGGCAGTTTGTTGTAGATTTCCCACATAGGCCTTTTATTAGGTTAAGAAAGTTTAATTCCTAATTTTCTTAGACTTTTTATTATGAGTGCATGCAGTGGCTTGTCAGAGGTTCTGTTTCTGTCAAGATGATTGTTTTCTTTCTTTGAATTTCTCAATATGGTATCTTATAGCCAGTGAGTTTTCAAGCCTTGAATCACTTTTAATTTCCTGGATAAATTTCACTTGATCACGTTATATTGTCCTTTCTGCATAAAGTGCTCGATTCCACTTGCTAATGCTATCTAAGGATATGTGTATTTTATGTTTACGAGAGATATTGGTCTGAAAATTTCTTTTATATCTTTTTCTGATTTTGATATCATGGTAAGAAAGGCAAGTGTTCCTTCTTTTATTTTCTGGAAGATTTATGGAGAAGTTGCATTAAGCTTTAGTTTTATTTTTCCCGTTGAGAAGTTAATGTGCTTCGTTTCTCTGAAACTCTCAGTCTGTGTGTACTCAGACTCTCCCTGTTGCATCTGCTCTCACTTCCAGTGTTCACATTTAGACACATAGTTGAGTTTCTCATTTTACCTTTTATGTCCCTGAACTGCTTCCATCTTCTGTGTTTTCATAAACTGTTCTTCACCTTTTGTAGTTCATATCCTCAAAGCTATGTTCTAATCCACTATTTCTTTCCTATCTCTGCTAATCCAGTGCTTAATATCTGCATAGAGTTTTCAACCCAAGGGCTGTGTTTTCATTTTTAAAAGATGTGTTTGTTTTTTTATTTACGTTTTCTTTAAACTGCCTTATTTATTGTGGTTTCCTTAAATTTTCTTACTCTAATTATCTTGCTTATTTTTAAGTTATTCTATTACATTGTTTTGCGGTTGCTATTTTTCTTTTGTTGCATAAACAAGCTCCCAGTGATGTTGGTTTATTTCTTGTCATGACTTGCAAATTTTGTTCATAGGTCATCTTTAGTGGGACTTCTCTTTTGTGAAAAATCCTTTAAATTCTAGGTTATGATACTGTCCCTTCATTCAAAGCCCTACCAATTTTAGTGATCATGGGCCAGGTTTTTTATTTATTTATTTTGTTTTTGCTTCACATTGCTTTGTATAAAATAATTAATTAATTAGAAGAATAAATATAAAATATGAGTAAGGTATACGGAAAATAGTAAAATGAGCAAAGTTGTACCCAACATCTACTTAAGAACTGAGACTGCTGGACGCGGTAGTGCCTGCCTATCATCCCAGCCTGCGGGAGGCTGAGGCAAGAGTGTTGCAGTGAATGCAAGACCAGCCTGAACTATGTAGTGAGGTCAAGGCCACCCTGAACCACATTGTAAGACCCTGTTTCAAAAAAATTTTTTTAAATGCAAAAAAACAAAAACCAGTAGAAAGAACTGAGAACTTACCAATGAGTACTTTTTTTTTCCTTTCTCCTTTATCTTTTGGCTTTTATCCCAAAGTGGTCAAACTGAAAACTCTATGGAAGAAGATAGGCCCCTACAAAGCAAGGGAGGGAAATCCCATTTATTTATTATCCAAACAGAGATTTGCACTGCCACTGTGGGCTGTGAGGGTGCCTCAGATTGCAAAGAACTGGGAAGAGTGGGAGTAAGGTTCCGCTGCCTGCCTCGTAAGTGCAAGGGCCTGGTATCAAAAATCCCCAGTAACCAAAAAAAAAAGGAAAAAAGGCCGCTGCCTGCCTCGAAAACCAAGGATAGCCACAAGGTCTCAATTCTCAGAAAGGGTATAACAGACCTTCTTGTATATGCACCTAAAAACATAGAATCAAAGTAG